TTGGCCAATATCTGTTGTCTTCTCGGACCCCTTTTACTGCTTCTGGAACTAATTAATTTTGAAACTCTACTGACTCACATGTCAGCTAAGACAGTGGAAAGTATTTACAACAAACTCTGGAAACATGTTATTAGGGTGCCACCTATCCACTTACTTGTACAGTTGAAGTAATGCAAAGTTACTCCATGAGAAACATTCTAGGTAACTATCATTTAAGAGCAAAATTTATCAGGTTTTTCCTTCATTACATCACCAGTTTTTCCTTTCTGTTGAAATCTAATTGCTGCATCCCACCTAAAGCTACTAGAGTCTCAATTGCAAGGTTGTGGGAAACGAGGAGCAGTCATTACCTGGAACAGGCACCCTCAAGGAGTGATTCACCCGGAAAGAGTGAAGATCAGTTACTGGAAGTGGTTATTCTTAGATTTATTGCACCACAATATTTAAAGTCAAATAAGAAAAAAATATTTTAAAAGTTCTGACATGAGCAGAGATTGAACTCTGGTTGGGAAAAAGTAGAGATCCATTTGAATTTTAAAATACAGATAATTGCTAAAGCTCTCATCTGAATCATTCTACTCAGATAAATCAAGAAATGCAGTGACTCCAAGGTTTTACCATACAGATAAGCAATTAGCATTAGATAATGAACTTTGTAGACAATGTGAAGCAGAATTAAATTCTTCCCACAAAGAAAGATAGAAGAGAGGCCAAAGTTGTCAAATGCCGAGTACATGGAGTCAAGATTTCCATTTAAATCCACTAACACGAACTCTGGCAATTTTTCAGTCAAGGTCACAGGATCTCCTGGAAAGGAACTTGCAATGAGGGACATCTGGACCCCAAGAAAAGAAATATGTAATCATTAAGTGGAGAAAACAATGACTAGTGCCTCTCAGGGTTGGTGAGAATTAAATCAGAGCATCCATATGTCATGCTTAGCAGTGTGCCTGGCACAAACCACACACCAAGTGCAAGTTAACTCCTCTTACTAACATCAACTTAGCTTCAGACAAAGGAATCAAAAACCTTTTGTAAATGAACTTGGTAACCTAATCATGCTGAAAAAATCTGTTTCATTGGAAGAAGGAATTTTGAATTCTGACAAACTATAAATGAGATTCTTAGTAGGCTATAAGCTGCCTAAGAAAGAAGTGATATTGATCTTAATTTTTGAATTGCTATAATTGATAGCATGCTGTCACTTTTGATCAGTGTGAAATGAACTAAGAAGTAATAGGATGAATATGCTACATGAGATAGTCAAAAGAAAAATCCTGCTAAGATATCCTGTTTATCACTTTGGTTATCCCTTTAGGAAGTGAATCCTACATTTCCTCAAAATCCAGGTAAGTTTAGCAAACAGAAGCTGGGTTGGTTACAAATTATCTGCCTTCCTTTAGGGTGGGATGTTCTTCCAAGGAAAGGCAAAACATCTCTGTTTACTTATGTAGGAGAAAGAAGAGAAAGAAATGATCCACCTTGAAGATCTTGAAATTTTTCATCTTGATTGTTTGTTTGGGGCTTGCTGGCTCTAGACCATCCCCCACAACCTCCATCATGGCTTCCTGTTATTGCATGAGATAAATTAGCTCTTGGGTAGTCAGAGCTATCAGTCATTACCAATGCAGCAAATATGGAAGCCATTTTTATGACACTCCTGGAGACTTACCTGGGCAACTGCAGATCCACAGCTGTCTTTCATGACAGCTGAACCACTCCAGAGATTTAGTTTCTCATAAGTGATTTATTTGATACCCTTTGATTAAGAAATCATAATATGGATACTTTTTATTTAGAAAACAAAATATCCCAAGGCTTGGGAGATAGCTTAGTGGTCTAAGTGCCTGCCTGGCAGGCACAAGGACCCAGGTTTGATAGCTGACAACACATACCTTGTCAATCCCAGGTGCCAAGTCAGCCATTAAAACTGGGTATGGTGGTGCACACCTGTAATCCCAGAGCTGGCGAGGCGGCGACAAGAGGATCACTACAAGTGCAAGTTATGTAGTAAGACCTGTACCAAATAAATAAATAAATAAATAAATAAATAAATAATTTAAAAAATTTTATTCATTTAATGAGAAAAAAGATAAAATAACAATGAAACAGCTTCAAAACAGGTTAGTAGGACAGTAACAATAATTAATAAATTGCATATTGTTGTCTTCATAGTAGGTATTCAGAGGACAAGATGCAGACATGATGTCTTGTCTAAACAATATTAGTACAAGCCTTTCTTCTCACTGAACTAAGAGAAAGTAGCTAGATATCTATCCTATTTTGTATATACATATATATTTTCTTCCCTACAAAATGGTCCTTTATTTATATCCCCCTTTTTTTGTCTTGTTTTATCAGAGATGGGTGTTTTATTACTTGAGGGAAGCTGTATTTGGGGAAGTCTTTAAAGGCCCTTTCCATACTTGATGCCAGTCCTAACACTGTAGGTACCTGAATTCAGCAAAATAACCCAATGTAGTCCAATGGTCCATAATAGCAGTGAGCTCTCAGCACAACTGGCAACTGTCAGAGTTGTTGACTTGAGCCTTTTGCAGTTCAGCATATTAATATAGCTTTATTTTCTATACCTCGTGTTTACACTTTTTTGCTGGATGTTTAAGACCAAGTTAAAGCAAGACATAATTGTTTAAAAAATTAAAAATAAAATCCTAAACATGAAACATCCTAAAGGCTAGACTGAGGTTGTGAATAAAAAGCTACTTCTCATTAGCATGTTTGGCAAGTAGGCCCTAAGCATTGTTCCTGATGCATCAGAGTGAGTGGAGAAACTGAATCTATTTACAAAACATTCCAGTAGAAGCATATAGCTTTAGAACATATCCTTTCAAACACTAACCAAAACTCAACTTTAAAAATCATCATAGGAATTTCTGTTTTTTCTCTGTCTTGATCTCTCTATATCTTATACAACTTATACATCATAATTGTAGATTTTATAGAAGGGCCTGTCTTTTCTAATAGCCATATATTAACTGAATATCCATATCAAGAAAACAGAGTGAGCTCAAATAAACAATTTAAGTTGACCCTCCAGTCTGTACAAAAAAAAAAAAAAAAAAAAAAAAAAAAAAAAAAAAGAGCAAAGCAAGCTCAAAGCTTGTAAGAGGGAGGAACTTATAAATATCAGAGCAGAAATTAGTGTTATTGAGACTAAGAAAATAATACAATCAATTCATTGAAGACTTAGTTATTTGAAAGATTAAATAATATCAACAAACCCTTAGCCAACATTATCAAAAAAGGGAAGAAAAGACTCAAATTCATACAACTGAAAATGAAAAGGGTGAAATCACAAAAGATCCTGCAGAAATCCAGAAGATCATGATCCAGAAGTTTTACTTATAGAACTTGTATTCTAATCACATTCAAATACTCATGTCATAAATTTAATTTTTCTGTACTATATAATAATCACATAAAAGAGAATGAGGAGGTAATATACCAGATTAACCACTCATCAGTCCAAATATATAGATATAGGATGACCAAAAAATGCAGTTTTTGAGAATATAATTTAGCAGTCTCTCTAATTTATGTCAAATCTGACTAATCTAGACTAATTGTATAGCATCAAATAAACTAATTTTTGGAGCTATATACTAGGTAAAAATTTAACAAAATGCCATGTAAGTTCTTTATAATGATACTACTTCAAGAAAGTTCCATACTATATTTATTTGTTTTGAAATAGTACTTAATAGATTAAAGATATTTTAATTGTATATGTAAAGGGCTGGCCAAATAGCCCAATGGATTAAAGCACCTGCAAGTAGGCGCAGGGCCCAGAGTTTGATTCCCAGGCCTGCTGTGCAGGCTCTGCCCATGGAGCATGCAAAGATGGAAATTGAGACTGGGCGTGTTGATGAGCACCTATAATCCCAGCTGTTGGGAGGCGGTAAACATGCAGATCACTATGAGTAGGATCTAATAGTGAGATCCTGAACACCCTGTAGAACTTTCCCTAAAAAAAAATTATATATGCATACCAAATAAATGAGCATGTACTGTGATGTGAAAGGTTCTCTTACATTAAATACTTTCTTACTAAATTTGTTAGCTGTGGAGTTATGCTCACCCCTTTAATAGTTCTGCATAAATGCTACTAAAATAGGTCTCAATAAGACCTAGAGACCTACTTGGAAATATGTACTCTCAAGCTCTTCCTGTAAATTAGAAACTCTAAGAAGATGGGTGTTGGCATTTGCATTTTCAAAACACAGCTAATATATATATATGTAGCCCTGGTTGCGGGGGAGTGGGGACACCTACGTACAAGCAACATATGTTGAGCTACATATATATGTAGCTGTGATATA